ATTCATTCATATAGCAATTGACATTGTCAGGTCCTAATATAATTGGTAATACCACGCTGACTTTATAAATCAGGTAATTTTGGTGGGATATTTTGGTGGGATACTATGGGGTGTTAAGATGTTGCTAACTTCTTGATTACTATCCCTTCCACAACTTGTAGTCGCGTGTTCTACTGGGGCTTGGGTGGAATTATGAGCTGAAATTATGAATGATGTGACAATTTACGGATTATTAGTTCGTTAGGACAATATATTTCGATCTTAATTTTATACGAAATTTTAATATTCTCATTTTAATTATGATACTTTACAAATAAAATCAATGATGCTTTTACAACCTATGGCATCAATAATGCGTTGATAATAACACTGACGATGGTCTTGATGGCAATGTAATTACGGTGCGTCCAGTGATTGTAGCAATAATCTTATGTTTTGAAATAGTAGTTATCAGCGCCATAGTGGGCTCGTCGGTTTCCTACTTTCAGTCAGTCTTTAGATAAGTTTTTTATGGGTTTCGGGGAGTAGCGGGTCGATTTTCTAAAAAGTAGCCCAGTTTCAATTATCCTTAATTTATACTAATCATTCATTTCTTCATTGTATAGGTGCTGGTAGCTTCGGGTGACCCTCTGGAAAGTAAACCGAGAATAATAATTTATCGGTTGGAAAATTACTCTGAAAATTGTGATTGGTTGGTCGCGACGATCTTCGCTGTTGTTGACCGTTTATTCTAGCATCCTATGTCTTCTTTCCGCAACAATGGCAGTTTATATTTTTATCCGTTTGGCTTTTCTCGCTCCGCGATTTTTCTTGCTGTTCAGCAACCATCGTCTGGATGGCTTGCTCCAGGTGACGTATCCGGTGTCCCACGGGACTTTGTTCCTCTCCATCCAGTACTGAATTATTACAGGTGGTGAAGTGTCTGCAGGCAAGCATAATTCATTTTTCACTTTTTTGGTAAACAGCAATATTTCGAATTTTTGGACCGTATACCCTTTTTTCCTAGCTTCCCATCTAGCCCTCTCTCTAAATTCGAAAGTTAGATTCTAAGTCCTGTGCCGTTATCTACAGATATCGTCTGTCTGGTTTAATAAGGAAGGGGTCGTCCTAGAAAAATTATTAGTGGCAGAGGGAATTTGGTAGGTTGTTATACGTTCTTATTTTGATTTAATTGGTACTATTAGTAACCAATTCGTTTCTTATATTTTTTAACCAAGTCAAAACTCTTAAAATTTGATCAATCAGTCATCCAGTCCGTTAAAGATATCAATATCCTATCGTCGCCTTTTCTGGTGCAAAGATCCTAACCAACAATCACAATAATTTTGATGTTAAGGTTGTTATAAGTATCGAGGATTTGAAGAATTGTATGCAACAAATCTGATTTTTATTAAGGCTCGTAAGCCTATTCTTATATTACATTAAGAGGAATTCTTCCTATTTAAAATGATGTATCGTAGTATGGGGTTAATGTTTTTCATTCTTCTCTTTCAATTCTCACTTTAATCGAGAAACTTCTCTTCCGTATCCGATAATTCGTAAATAGGAAATAGTCCAACCATTTTATAATCCTTATCATCAAGTAAAGTATAAGTGTTGGCTCCATTCGTTAAACGATAATCATTAGCCCCGGTTTTAGTTAAGAATTCATTGTTAACCGCTGAAAATTAATTAACGGAACTGAAAATGAACTTCAGAAACATAATATTGTAGAGTTCGAGACCAAAGAAATTGGAGTAGACAAATGAACGAATCCCCCCCCCACAAACCATAAAACCCCAAACAATTCACCCGAAACACTAATTCTTTTCCCTTCCCCTCTCCAAACCGTCATATTGAACAATAAAACCCTAAACAATTCATCCGAAACACTAATTCTTTTCCCTCTCCCTCCAAACTGTCATATTGAACGATATCTATAAATATCGGCACAGGTATTAGACATTAATGAATACTATTAAGTATATACGCTCTTTTCCAAACTCCCATTATAGGCCCCAATCTCGCCTAAATAACAACAGGCGATTTTTAAAATAAGCGTTTGTTTTGGTGTAAAGCTAGAAAGATCTCCCGATCCGATTTGATTGGTCGAGCCACTAAATT